CATGTGCTACTACTTGAACTTGTGCAATAAGGGTTGTTTTCTCAGAGCCTATCACATATGCACCTAGACTGCAGAGTGTCGTGGGTTCGAATCCCACCTAGGGCAGCTCTTTATTTTTCCTTGGAAAAAAAGAGCTGTCCTAGGTGTAGTTGATTTGTTTGTTGTGCCTTTGCCTTTCTACCTCATAGGTTTCACATGCATTATACTTGGCTTGGAGTTGGGCGTCATTGGTGGTTTAATTACCCCGGTCTGCTCCTACATGCTAAGTGAGAGTTTACTGTGCCATAGCACAGTGGTTGGAGGTGTGCCTTGTGTTGTGTTGTGTTGTGTTGTAGATTCGAACCCCTACCAGCTGAGTTGCCCTGTTAGCTCAGTTGGTAGAGCGCTCACCTAGACTGCAGAGTGTCGTGGGTTCGCATCCCACCTAGGGCAGCTCTTTATTTTTCCTTGGAAAAAAAGAGCTGTCCTAGGTGTAGTTGATTTGTTTGTTGTGCCTCTTTGCCTTTCTACCTCATAGTTTTCACATGAATAACTGGTTCTTGGAATGACTGGGTTGGCTTGCTTTCTGCAACTTTCTTTACATGGGAATGATTCATGCATAATCAGCGCTTGTTTGCTAAAAATAGCACAGTATGGAATGGACTTCAACCTCTCACCTTCAGTCTCTACAGGGAGGGTAGTGGCAGGTCCAGTACCAACACCATTGACTGCAGCCACTGAAACAGTATACTGTGTGGATGGAGTCAGTCCAGAGATTGTGGCTTGTCTAGCATCTGTGTTAACACTAGCAGTTCCTTTCACCACTCCATCCGTGTTTGCTGCAGTAACTGTGTAGCCAGTGATATCTCCATTCCTCTCAAGACAGGCCACCTCTCCCCACAGTAGAGTGACACTGTTAGCAGTGAGTGTACCCACTGTGATCGAGGCAGGAGAACCACTGGGAGCTGTAATAGACTAAAACAGCTAACAACTATTGAACTAGACAATTGTACTGCCCCTTACCAGCTTCAGTGTCTTTGCGTAGCAGAGTTACTGACTGGACTCTACCAAGCATCATTAGAGAGTTTCACAGTGATGGTGTACCTATTCCCCTCCTCTAGTCCATTATTGTATAGCTAGTGAGCTGCCAGTCTGTGATAATGCTCCCTCCCTCATCCTCATTAGAACAGGCCACCTAGGTGTCTCTCTGCCACTGGAACCAAGACGCCAGTCCACCACTGAGTTCACTGGGGACACTACCAGTGATGGTTACAGTAGTGAAGTGACCGTGGAAGTTGAGTCATGTATGGAGCTGATGGACTGTGGTGGGGAGCAAACTATGTGAGCTACCATGCTACCCACGCTAGGAAATAGGTTTGTTTGTGGGTGCCATTGTAAACTGAAACTCCTACTGTGTACGCTATATATGGCATACCTAAACTAACAGTGACCACCAAGGTTGGCCTAGGTTTTTAACCAGATGATGATGTGCATGACAATAGATATCGTGTATGTCTTTCGATTGGTAAGACGCAGTCAGAGTGTAGCTGTGTGGTATGAGCCACACCATCATATATCCACATCACTGCCTGTGGTGAGGAGATCCTGTAGCCATGTGGTATCTCCCAGTGGAGAGGAGGAGTCCAGGTCACTGTGATACTAGTGGGACCACGGACTGCTGTCACACCAGTAGGAGGCAATGCACCTGGAGCATAAACAAGTCATTGCCATTATAAAAAACCTAGTCAGCCAGCTTTTACAAATAGTTTACAGCACTGAGAACTGTACCATAAAAAAGCATAATACCTGCTACAAAGATTGTAGAGGAAGCAGATGATGGCTTGGGATTAGACACAGTACAAGTGTATTCTCCTGCAGTAGTCACAGTCAGAGTGTGGGTGTACTGTGCAGTCACCGGGTCATTGAACACAGTCTGGTTTCCTTTGGTGACAGTGGTGGAGTCTCTGGTCCAAGTGACAGTGGTAGCAGGTCCACCAGTGGAGATACAGGTGAGCGTCAACTGGTCAGAGTCAAATGTCACATCTCCAGATATCGTGATGTCCCCTACAGTGATGTCTCCTACAGTGAAATGTTAGTGAAATCATCCAACCAAGAACCCAGAATCCCACTAGAGTCAATTTTTAGTTCCCATGCCATGCCAACTCAGGTGAGAAAGTAATGGGCTACTAAAACCAGCACAGCTCTACAAACAATACAGTCGAACCTTGTTAATATGAACTCCAGGGGACCGTCAAAATGTTCATATTAAAAGGAATTTCACTATAACAGTACGTTGCTAGTTATATTAGTGTTATAATGCCAGCGATTTCAAAGTGGTTCGTATTAAGCAGGTATTTTGCTTTAACAGTGTTCGTATTAACGAGGTTCCACTGAAAGGGATAAGTTGCCTTTGTGCTCTTTAGCCATCAAATTTCGAAGTAACTGCATTTACCTCCATTGCCAGTATACAGTCCCACATAGACTGTGTCTCTCACTGAGTTGTCATTATCATCATGGACAGCATTAGTTGAGATATCACAGCGATAGATACCAGTTGGTGGGGTACCATGGTTACGACGTAAGTCAACTCTCCGATCTCCACGGGTCTCATAGATATCGCCAATTCCAGTGAATGGCAATCTCGTTCCATTTGGGAAATACCAGTCTCCACGATGAGAACCCATGAGTACTCCTACAACATGTGCTGAGTCAGTATGACACTGAACACTGTCACTACCACTGTCATCATTCCCCACTAGACTGAGGTCCACATAGGAATGGTTGGCCAGAGTCTGGCCATTGAAGGAGACATAAGGAAAGGTCTGAGAGTGGACCTCCACCAGAGACCAGAGGAGACTCAACAGAGATACAAGGCGCATCGTTCATCTGTTGCACATTCCAACCAGCCCTGCCAAATTATTGTAACCACTATGTCCATCCATATATGGGAACAGAAAATTAAAAGCCCGTCATCCCCGCCTTCGTGAGGGTTGCTGCAACAATTTGGGCGTAATTGACGGGCACATGTGTAGGCTCAATGAAGGTTTGGAATGTGAGATAGTCAAGACAGACACCAGTACATTAGTAAATTTAAAATCCTGCGAATTCAAAAAGAGGATAATAGGGCTGTATAAAAAGAAAGGGAGACAAGATAGGGATGGGATACATGAAGCATGGTTAATGAACAGATTTGAGCATGCCAACACCCCGATCCCATCACACAATCCCTATATTGTTGCCTGGTGTGCCACTCGTAAACTCCATTTCGACCCATGGTTACTCAGTAGCATGACTTCACATTGTTATGGTAACGTGTTGGTTACTCAGCATGACTTTTTTTGGTATTTTCAAGCTGTAAGTCTATATATTGTAATGTTTAATAATTCACCTAGGCAAAATATGGGGGTGATGGGTTATTACGAAACCTCAAGCATTCTTCGCCCGCTAACACTAAACCACATAGTGCATTTCTTAAGCATTAATCTAAGCAGAGTGTCATTGTGTGCACCTACTTTTATTCTGCAGAAAATAGCAATACCAGCAGTTTCAGCACTGCCTTGATTTTTTCGTAAATAGTTACGGATTGAAAAGCAAGTTGAAAAAATATTTTTACGAGAAAATAAAAATACAATAAGTATAGTGATGCAAGGCTAATGTCAAATGATGCCATCGGTTTGAGGGGGTAGAGGCGGGGTCTGACGGAGCCATAGTGCGGTGTTTCCACGCCAAAGAGCGACTCTCAGACGGCCGAAAAGGTGTCTTGTGGTGTGAGGCAAACAGGAAGGGTTCACCCTCTGTCCAAGGGCTTCACCTATTCTGCGAATGGTAGAAGACGCCCCCAGAACCCAACCGCCCAATGTCTCCACCACCACCAGAATGAACTCCATTCCAGCGGCGCGACACGCTTGTAGGTTGGCAGAGAGCTTGCGTCGGACACATACCTCAAGAGCATGGCCTGGGGTCACTGCAGCCTCGGCCAAGGTTAGCCGCTGTAGTGGCGAAATGACTGACAGGTAGGAAGCAGAATGTCAGCGGGGCGGGCACTGGAATTAGAAACGATTCCAGGAGCTTCTTTTCTCGGGCCAAGGGCAGCAGATTGAGCAGCACTGAAGAGGACATCTCTGATGTTGTTGTGTCGGGAAATCCTGTCTCCACAACCCACCTGATGGTCCCCCATCATATCTGCCTGGAGCCCACATTCAGGACATAGATAGTTGCTCCCATAGAGAGGGACCCCCAACCAGTACCTGAAAGAGCAGCGGAACTCCCGGTCATGGATGTGAAGGCCAAGTGGAGCGGAGGGAACCACGTTCAGCCAGTCCCCAGCATGTGGAAGACTTGAAGAATGGGCTAGGGCTCTGGAGCGAATGTCAGGGGCAGTGGAGAGAAGGTTTTTGTAGATAGCTTCGTCGATGGCGACGGAGAGTGAGCGCTGATAGATAGGGACATCCACATCATAGAGACTAGTCCAATCAGGACGGTTGGCAGCAGCAGCTATGGCTGGGGGAACGTGAGGTGAAAGTCCAGGAGAATAACCAATGATCCTTTCCACCAAAGGCCACACACGTGGACATGAACCCAGGAAGGCTGCGGGAGCGTGAAGAGCAGCGCTCCGCAGGTTGAGTCTAATCCCGACTGCTTGGAAGGGAAGCCTTGAGCCAGGACCACTGTGAAATCGAAAGCAAGTCAACAAGACAATAATTATGCAAACGAGGAGCATTGCCATAATTCAACTTGTTCCTAAACCACTACCTACTAGTGTAGGAGCTGCTGTGTCAGACTCTGAGTAAGCTAGCAAGAAACCATGACTAGCGTGCAGCTCTGTACAGACGCGAACATACATATGGGAGATGTAACACTTGGGCGAGTGTGTTTGTAGTTTGCTATAGATTTGCGCTTTAGAATTTCTTCTCTGCAATATTTAGCGGTTTATACGTAGATACACAAATTGTACACAAAAAGTTAAACGGGTGAAATTTTGTGCCATTCTTTCTACATGTGCATGTCACTTGAATATTTGAACTCGATCGTTGAATGTGTCACTGACAAAGACATAACCATCATCTCTGACAGCAATGGCAAATGGATTTTTGAACTCTCCATCTTTGTTCCCTCTCTTCCCAAATGACTTAACGTACTTGCCATTCTCATCAAATACTGATACTCTGAGATAGTCGTATTCAACCACATACACCCAGTCATCAGGTCCAACTGCCACACTGACTGGTCCTCCTAGTCCCTCTCCTGCTCCAGTGTGAGTGATGGATGACAGATGACGGCCATTGGCATCGAAAATCTGAACTCTGTTATTCCAACAGTCAGCTACAAATACATTTCCTTTTCTGCTCACAGATATTCCACGAGGCCGATTGAACTGACCTGCCTCACTTCCCCTACTTCCAAAGTTGTCATGGAAGGTCAAGTCGTTGTTGAGGATTGTGATGCGATGGTTGCAAGTGTCACAGATATACACTCTGTTGTTGGTGTGGTTGTAGGCTGTGGCATATGGTGTGTTGAACTGCAGTTGTCCACTGCCCTTTGAACCCACTGACGCTATGAACTGACCCTCAAGAGTGAATTTCATCACACAATGATTCCCACCAACTACAAACACTGTGTTATCAGAAGAGATGGCTACTCCTGTTGGTGCAATAAGTCTGCTTTCTGTGTTTCCAAACAATCGCAACAGCCTGTGATTGCTGTCAAAGACTTTCATACAGTTAGCATTTCGCTCACAGACAATGGTTTCCCCAGTTTTGGCAAAAGCACTATGTCGTGGGTGCTTTATTTCACTAATGGTCTCGACGTGAGTACCTTTCAACTGGACCGTCTCGAACTTCACTTCTCCTAATGTCTGACATGCTGAACTCAAGTCTGCACACACCACACTAATCTCCTTCTCTAAACCCAACACCAGTTGCTGAGGTTTGAACTCGTCTGCCATCTCCCGTGCCCTCTCCTCCACTTGTCTCTTCATCGACAGCACCTCCTCTTGTGTGCCACTCTGCAGACTCCCCTCCACAAACTCCACGCAGCTGCTCAGCTGGGCCTGCCTCAACTCGTGTCCATCAATCCGGGCCGCCAGCTCCTTCTTCCCCTGACACACCTCACCATCTATCTGGGAGTGAAGCTCCCTCCTGCGAGCCTCTAGGATGGCCTGGAGATTGTCTACTTCAGCATCTACCTGTGCCTTTGCCTCTATATCCTGTCCATCTAGCCTGCTGGACCTTGCCTTCAGTCCTACAATGGTGCCTCCTACACTAGCAAGTTCAGATTTGACTGGACCTAGGCAGGCAAGGATGGCATCTCTGTGTTTGGGGAAGGTGTCCGGGACGAGGTCGTAGTTGTGGTCGCGATGGGTCTTGACGGTGCAGTCGCGGCAGATCAGCTCATCGCACGTCTCGCAGTAGATCTTGATGGGCTCTGTTGTGTGCTTGGAACACACAGAGCTCACCTTTTTAGGTGTCACCATTTTTGAGGCAGTTTCTTGAACTTGGTCGATGGTGGATATTTCGTGCCCCTGCAATTCTCTCCATTTACGATGCGTAATGAGGCAGTGCTGGCAAATGAACTGGCCGCAGTCTCGACAGAAACCCTGCACCTCTCCCTCCCCACACTTGTCACACTGCGCCTTCTCCGGGTCCCGCACCTTCTCCAAGACCTCCCTCACCTCGAAAAGGTGCTGGATGTAGAAGGCGGAGGGCAGGCTGGACACGCCCCCTTGAGGGAGAGTGGCGGGCTTGCGGCAGTTGGGGCACAGGGCACTCAATTTGTCTCTCTGTGTCCCCACCAGTTTCTCCAGACAGGCCTCGCAGAAGACGTGGAGACAGGGCAGTACTCTGGGTCTGCGGTACTCCTCCAGACACACCGAACACGACAGCTGATTCGATAGCTTCTCTAGTGCCTCCTGAGCTAGATTTCCAGGCTTTTCGGTGGTAGCTTGCGGTTTTTCAGCCATTATACCACTATCTGCAGAGAATCATTGTTACACAGTAGATACAGTTTGTGTTTAAAAGATGCGTCCAAATTGCGTGGGCGTCGATATTTTAGTTATTTTTTTCAATAGCATGGCTAAAACGCTCGTGAATTATAGTGAATTTTGGTACCTGTCCCGGATTTTTCACTCCTTGTTTTACAAGCTCATTAGCATATTCATATTCATCCTCCATACATTCTCTATGGGATAGAAAACCAGTGCGCAACTTCAACGGGAGCGAACAGTTCCTCGCCATTATGCGCAGTAGCGTTCTTTCTGCCTCCTACGGTACGCGCAGGCGTATTAGAGCCTGTTTCAAAAATGGGTGTGGCCACGTTTTGAGTATTACGTATTCGTTGAACTTTGCCATACAGGGGCTACGCCCATTGCCCATTTTTCTGAATAGGCTCTAATACGCGCCTCCGTGTACCGTAGGAGGCTAGGCAGAGAAAACCACTGCGCATAGTGGAGACGGACCGTTCGCTCCCGGTGAAGTCGCGCACTAGTTCTCTCTCTCATAGAGAATGTATGGAGGAGGAATATGAATATGCTAATGAGGTTGTAAAACAAGGAGTGAAAAATCCGAGACAGGTACCAAAATTCACTATAATTCACGAGCGTTTTAGCCGAAAAAATAACTAAAATATAGACACGCACGCAATTTGGGCGAATCTTAGGCCTCTATGCAACTATATACCTAAATAAGGTCCTGTCGATTATGCAGGCCTACATCTTTCTTCTACTACATACTACATAGTTTCACACACAGTATTGGTGCCTTGCATAGAAGTAGGTACACGTATCATTGCTGCTTAGTAAAAGTGAGAACTACACTTTGTGCACAAGGCTGGTATCTGTGTAACAGCTAACTAAGTAAGGTTCTGCCCAATATGCAGTCCTCTTTATTCTGCTACATTGCTTCACACACACAGACACGCACAGCTTTGGTGCCTTACCTAAGAGAGAGTAAGAATTTCAAGAAACACCACCACCAAAAGGGCTGTCTGTAATCGCTGGACTGCACTAGTACTGGACTGGACCACTGGACCACTGGTATTGACCGGACCGACCTTTGACCGTAGTTTGCGCATGCGTAAGTGAATCGCACGTGCTCTCCTTTGTTGAGCCAACCTAGTCGTTCGTTCGTTTCTATATAATGCTTGGCATTCTTTGGGCGAGCGGAGCGAGAAAACTCAAAGTATATACAACCATCATCATTACTAGCGATAATATAGCTACCTACCTACAGGTAAAATGTTTCAGCAAGTAACAGCAAGTTATTATGGTGTTGTCATATTAGGTTGAGTAAGGCAGCTTGCGCATACGTATATAGCTAGACCAGAAGAAAGTCCCCCTCTCCATCTCTTAAACCCGCTATCTCCTTACCAGTACCAGTTCAAGCACTGATTTTTTTCACTGAAGGTCTCCAATTTCGCCGGAGGTGTGCACGGACATCAAGCGATCGTTTCTTTCTTGCCGCTAGTCACTACGGTAGATCATGGAGCTCTTCCATGGTCGACCTGAACAACGCCATTTGCTGCTTACTCAGCATCAGTGATCCGCGCGCATGCGCCAGGTAGGGGCGTTGTCCAATGTGCTTGCGAGCGTATTCTACCGGGCGAGTTGGCCGACCTGCAGAGGAACTGTCAGCCTCCAGTACCTTCTGTAGGTAAGTGTGCACATTTCCAACTGGCTATCTTGCTGTTGATTTGCACGAAGAGCAACTTGCCAGAGTCAGCGCGGTGTTACGCGAGCCTTGCGGGGCACTCAGTCAAATGGGCCTTCATTGTTTGTCCCCCCCCCCCCCCCAGGTTGTAGCCTGATTACCAAAGCCTGCCAATGAAACCACAACCATGTGCAATAATCTAATTACATCCTTGTTGAAGACAATACATGAGGTGAATGCTGGTATCTAGCAGCCCATTAGCTACTACTTTCAACAGTTACTATGGTAGCCTATCTACAAATGAACATCAGAGTGACTGTAACAATAAATGCAGTGTTGCCATAAGCTGTTAAAAATAGTGGAAACAAGTGTAAAAATCATTTCTTTAAAATGAAAGGGGGATATAGGGATGGCTTGAAGCACCAAAAAGGAAGAAACAAGGGGTCATTACACAGCAAAGTTGCACAAAGCTTCATGACACCATCCCTATATCTTTGTTTGATATTGTTTGATATTAAACTTTGCTTATAACAATAAAACAAAGATATAGGAATGGTGTCATGTAGCTTTGTGCAACTTTGCTGTGTAATGACCCCTTGTTTCTTCCTTTTTGGTGCTTCAAGCCATCCCTATATCCCCCTTTCATTTTGAAGAAATGATTTTTACACTTGTTGAACCTTAAAATGGGGTATCTCAGCACATGTTTATGGAAAGGAAAGTAATTATCCCTCGGCAATGTATATCCAGCGACACTCTCACACTGTAGTGATACCACCGACATCGGTACCAAGTAGACATGGATGTTGTTTTTCACACCAGAGCTGACGAGAAATCTCCACAGCCTCCTCCCGAGAAGAAGATGAAGACTCAAACTGTGACATGATGATGTGTTTGATCATGTGCATCTCTACATGAATTTTGTGTCAATCATGTGAGACGTCATATTGACTTGCAGCATGAAACTTGAGGGGGAACTCTTTCACTGTTTTCACATGTTTGGTGCGTAATTTTGTTCTGGGGTGTGGGTGGAAGATAGACCAATTATGTATAAAGGAATCCATGAGAGTTTACTCTCTCGACTTGTGTTTACTAGCAAATCAACATAATTACATGCCAACAATGGCTAACCCTGAGCTACCGTTCCCCTTATACAATTTCAGTTCGTTGCGGAGTTTGTACTTTTTAACTAGTCAACCAGTGCATAGATCACTCCTCTGCTAATTCAGTACTACACATCATCACATATTACTAACTAAGTATGCACCATAATATTTCATGCATGTCTGCAGTAGTCAGATACTGAACAGTAATGTAGGGACACATCACACAGACTCATAGAGAGAGTCTCCCGCAGCAGCAGTGGTAGGCTGGGAGGAGGTGGAGGGAGGAAGGTCTCGTATTACCTCATATTCACCTTCAGCTGTACTTCCAGTCCCTCTCACTACATTGTAGGCCTCATTACTGGAGGTCTGGAGCTGCTCCGAGCCCCTGACGGAACAAGGCACAATTGACAGTAGAAAGAAGTAAAATTGAATTATTGACCCTCTGTTTGTGGCACTTAACCTACAGATATTTATTTCCTGACAATGTGGGCATTTCTACGCCAGTAGTGTTGGTGGAGGCTGCATAAAAAGAAAAAAGTGTTGACTGTTTTTTATGGTGGTCCATAGTCATGTTACCTTTAGCTCTTTGGAGTTTCCTGATGAAAAAGACTATCACCATAGCCTGCACTACTATAGCAGTCACAATCACCACTCCCAACACACCACCAAGATATGCTACCAATGCTGATGAATCACTCTGAATGCACGAGTCTGATGTAGCTAGAGAAAGAAAAGTGCAGTACACAGTTTATTATGCGGGACATTCTGAATAAAATTAATGAAGGATGACTTGCTCGTGATTATCAAAAAATATACAAAGCTAACATGTATGCACATGGAGACTCAGAGTCAGGGCCACTGTCTGTTATGATAGTTTCACAACACAGCTACTATAACTGAAATACTTTCAGTATGCTACACACATAAGACACACCTATGATTGTACATGTGATACTTGCTTGCAGAGTTAGTACAGTTGAGGGGTCAGAATATAGTCCAACGTCTCCATTCTCATTCACAGCTGCTACTGATATGGAGTAGTTTGTGAAGGGACTCAGTCCAGTCAGAGTAACTCGTCCTCCACTGTTCCAGTTTTCACTATCTCCCAGAGTATAGTCTCTAGTCTCAGTCGTTGAACAAGTCTCATACTGAACTCTGTATTTAGTGATTCGACCATTGACCAGTCTACAGCTGGAGAGGCCACTCCACTTGACAGAGATCTCAGTGGAGCTCTCAGCCTCTGTTCTCACATCCCCTGGAGCCTCTCCTGCACCTGTACACGCACACACATTACACACAGACTGTGAGACAATTTAGTGGGTCTTACTTGTCTGTGGTGTTAGAACTCTCTTGGTCTCACTAGGTCGACTTGTACCTCTGACATCACTGACTGCCTTCACAGTCACCTCATATGTGGCGTAGGCTCTCAACATATCAGTCACTGTTGACCCCACATCTCCTCCAACAGCAATACTGGCAGTAGTGGAGGGAGCACTGACTGTCAGAGTGGCAGTATGAGAGTCAGTACGGTTGCACTGCCCCTGCTGATAATATCCCTGAACTTGAGAGAATGTGACAGCGTATTTTTCACCATCTTCTACTGCATGCCAGGACACTCTGACACTGGCTGATTCTTCAGTAACCACTAGCCTTTTGGGAGTATCTGGAGCTGTGGTTAAAATGGTGAGTGGAAAAAGGAGTAAAGAAATATATGTTTTGTACTACGTGCGAGGGACATACCGGATTTCAATGAACCCGAGAGTCCCCGCGTTTGTAGTGTCCCGAGCGCAGCGAGGGCACTATGCTGATGGCTCGAGGGTTCATTGAAATCCGGTATGTCCCGAGTATACGGAGTACATAACATGTTTAGTGCAGAGCAAATCAGCTCCGTATACGCGCACTGCGTTTCCAAGCACAGGGAATTTGAAAGATGCGAGAAAGAGACGAGAGCGCAAGACCGTCATCTCGTGCGGGACTATTGAACGCCGAACGCTAGGATACGCTGCTCCGCCACTCTAGCTACTCCCGCTGCGGGACTGTCCTCCGCCACTCATCCGAAGAAACGCGACAGGAGACCTGCGCGAACCATCGCAATCAGAGAGAGGCGAATTCAGGCGCTGTGCGGGCTGCTATACCGAAGGCGTTCGCCGTCGACTTGTCGCGCGCACTCGCTCGCGGAGCCCCACCCCCTTATTTGCGTGCGGTGGTTTGTGGCGGGCGTGAGCTGCCTGACTATCTACTATGTATATACATGGCAAGGAGGGATATGGGCTCAAAGCAGACACAGAAAACTGTCTCGTGGAAAAAGAAAATCAAGATATCAGTTATTTTGATCAACATTGTGTACAGATCATGTTTTGCGGGATACATTTCTTACATGAAAATATATGTTATGTACTACGTGCGAGGGACATACCGGATTTCAATGAACCCGAGGGCCTCCGCGTTTGTAGTGTCCCGAGCGCAGCGAGGGCACTACGCGGATGGGTCGAGGGTTCATTGAAATCCGGTATGTCCCGAGTATACGGAGTACATAACATGTTTAGTGCAGAGCAAATGAGCTCCGTATACGCGCACTGCGTTTCCAAGCACAGGGGATTTGAAAGATGCGAGAAAGAGACGAGAGCGCAAGACCGTCATCTCGTGCGGGACTATTGAACGCCGAACGCTAGGATACGCTGCCCGCCGCTCTAGCTACTCCCGCTGCGGGACTGTCCTCCGCCACTCATCCGAAGAAACGCGACAGGAGACCTGCGCGAACCATCGCAATCAGAGAGAGGCGAATTCAGGCGCTGTGCGGGCTGCTATACCGAAGGCGTTCGCCGTCGACTTACTAGCTTTGTCGCGCGCACTCGCTCGCGGAGCCCCACCCCCTTATTTGCGTGCGGTGGTTTGTGGCGGGCGTGAGCTGCCTGGCTATATTATACATGGCAAGGAGGGAGATGGGCTCAAAGCAGACACAGAAAACTGTCTCGTGGAAAAAGAAAATCAAGATAGCAGTTATTTTGATCAACATTTTGTACAGATCATGTTTTGCGGGATACATTTCTTACATGAAATGCTGTTGAACTTGTTGAAAATCAACAGAAAAAACAAGGTTTCATATCATGTTTTCATGTTACCTTTGTTAGCTCACGAGGTTCATATGAGAAATCAGGAACCTCGTACTAACAAATCTCATTGGTCGATTCGAATCAGCTATGCACTAAAGTTGTCTGTTTGGTTATTTTGGGAGTGGAGGGAGAATAAAGTGCATACCT